TTCAAACACCTGCTACTGATAATAATTTGATCATGATGTGTTCAGATCAAGTTCATCAAAAATTTTATAGTTTTCTAGCAAATTTTTGACTTTTTAAACTGTTTCTAAAAATTTACTTCAAAATCAGTTTTTTTCTAGAAAATTTTGGATTTCTCAAACTTTTTTTGCATGAGATTCATTGCAAAATTTCGAAGGACTTCTTGCAAACTTTTGAGTTTTGAAACTCAATTGAAAAGTTGAAAATTTGCAATAACAGAAACAATGTTTGGTAGATTCTGCAGAGAAATATTCCTGAAAAACTTTGAAATGTATGAGTTTCTAAAGTCAGATTTTTGGAAGTCTTTCTCTACAAAGTTTTGCAGATTAATCTCAACATTTCAAATGTTTTCAGATTTTTGACATCAATCTCAAAATGTGTTTTTTCTAGCAACTATTTGGCTTTTCAAACTCAGAAATGTTTTTGATTTATGGCAGAAATTCACTCCTCATTTTTCTACCTCTAATGGCCGTGATATGCCGTCGTAAGACGCACATCCATGACGAAGTTGAAGCTGCATCCCTCTGTGCGTCACCGCCGCGCTGACATTTCACCGGCTCAAACCACCCGAGGGTTCCCGCATGAAAACAATCTCCTGCTTCGTGCTGCTTCCAGCTATTTTATTATGTCAGCTGTGTGGAGCTGCATGTGCGGTTATTTTTACCTCCTGTCCGTGTCCTCAGGTGTGCGGCGCTTCCCAGTGGGTCAGACGCGTTGCGGCTGCTGCTCGGTCACTCATCGTCCTCTGGCTACAAAAGCAGAAGCTTTCACACAAACTGCAGGAAAGACTGGAAAACTTTCCCTCAGACGTTTGTTTCTCTGGATGTTTCTGTGTTTGTGTCTACAGTGTGAGAGAAAGTGGGTCAGCCAGCTCGCCCTGGTTCCTGCTCACTTGAACCGATAAATCATATCATTGCGCTGCAGATAGAGTTGGTCCTCTGATGTTTTACGACCTCGGAAATGTTTCTAAAAAAACGCAAAGGAAAAAGGTTTTTCCCCGTTTATCTGAACAATGACGTGTTGTTCTCAGCTAATAAAAACTGTTTAAATGACCAAATACAGCTACAACCAACAGAAGCTGCTACACTGGCTGTAGCCTTGAATTGATTTTTTTTTACAGCAACTCAGTTCATGAAATTTCTTCTAACAAAACCGACCATTTATAATAGAAGAATTGAACTATTTTCCATTTAAGCTTCTGGTTTTAGAGCATCTTGTTTTATATTGAAGGGGAACTATTGTGTAAACTTCACATTCTACATGTTTTATGATTCCATTTGGGTCTCGGCAACAACACCCAAACGTTTTTAGTCATAAGTTAAGGTTTTTTCGTGTCTGGAAAATGAGCTGTTTTCAAAACCTCTGGCTTAAGTCACATTGGAAGGGCACAGCCGTTACCTAGCAACCTGAACGGACTTCCGCACGTTACTTAGCAACCTGAACGGAGTTCCACACGTTACTTAGCAACCTGAACGAAGTTCCACACGTTACTTAGCAACCTGAACGGAGTTCTACACGTTACTTAGCAACCCAAGGAGCTCCTGAATGTTTGGTCAGCTGGTTTTACCGCTGTATGTGCCGTACAATGGCTGCTGGAGAGGACAAGTATAGAAACCACTTGCTGCATTCTTGTTGGTTATGCAGGTGGCTCCACTAATGCATTTCAAAGATGTGAGGTTGCATAATTGCACATGCTATTATCTACTTAATTTACCTTTGGGATCAATAATCAATAGAGTTTGCTTATTTTTTAATTTCTATTTAATATGTTTACAGCCATTTTTACTTGTGAATGTAAACGTTGAGTTGGGGGCGTGGCTTATTTGAATTTAAAATGACAAGACGCCCATTAAAAGCATAATCTGAAAGGAGCAGACTAGATGCTCATTATCTAAGAATGATTTTGTGCAAAACTTTGTAATGAACATGTTTTTATAGACCATAAACCTATACTAACCTGTTCAAGGAAGCATAGTAGGTCATTTTTAACATAATTTCACCTCACATTGTTTGTATTGGCGTTCAAAAATCAGGTATTTTAGCTTCTGTTTCACCTTTAACCTGTAGAAGGCATGTGGCTGAGGCAGAAAAAGCAAGTAAGTCACTTCAAAAATGATAAGTGTGAAGATTTTGGGTAGAGGAAGAAAGGATTCTTAGTCTAAACGCACCAGCAGAGTGTATGGGAATACTGGGCCACAAAGCTTTTTAGTCAGATCAAAGCTAATCCATATCTGTGGGGAGAGGACTTGGTAAAACCCTCCACTGTCAGTGGGAATCCTCTGCCTTCCTCTCCGTCTGTTCCGTCTTCCTCAGCGCTTTGTGAAACCGGTTGGACTTTTCAGCACCTTTTCTCTACTTCGAGCTGGTGTGGAGAAACTAGGTCAGCCATGGAGGAGGAGGTGAGCGGTCTGGCCTCCAGACTCGGTTAAGGAGGGAGTGTTTTGCCTCCAGGGAGGCAGAGGATGGAGAGGCTTGAGCAGCTGGAGCCGATGCCACTCACGAGGTATTGACCTGGCAAGCTAACGAGGATCCGCTCAACCCTTGGTGCTGAAGTCTTTACTGGCTGCAGGCATCGTGGCTCCTATTTAACACAGAGGTTCATTCCCACCAGCCCTCTTTAGTCCACTTTAATCCGACTCTAGAAGCTCCGGTTCGTTTGTTGAGGTGTGAATGTGCAATCACACCAAAAGATTGAACTGTGGTCTGCCTACAAACTTCATCTTAGTTTGATTAATGCGAAGTCTGGTGCGGTTCGAATGCATATGTGAACGCCAAGCAGATCAGATACCGCTCCAAAAGCAGGAAGTGGATTACAGTGCAGGGCATTCTGGGTAAATATGACCAAAACAAATGCGAGAGTCAAGATCTAGCTGGAGAAAAAGACAAACGAGAAATCCTACAAAATCTGAAATCTGTTGTATTTTTGTTTGTATTTTGTGAAGAAGCTTCTTAAAGAGACAAAAACTAATAATTTTTACAGTATTTTTTTAACGACTGAAGGTGAAATAGTTACTAGATTCTGATATAAAATGACCTTCTGTGTCTGGAAAACACAAAATGTCGCCTCTTTAAGAGAGAGCGACTTAACTAATCTGAAGCAGTGTTGGGAAAAAAGCAGGCTAAAATTCATGATGTGTTCTTCTTGTATCAATGCACAGCTTTTCCATTTTGCTCCGATGTTTATCGAATAAATTGTTATGAAATGTGAGATGGTATACTTTCAGTATTCAGGGAGGATTTGAGTAGATATTTGATGTTTTTTCTGGTCCTGTTATGTTTTTCCATCCAAGGTCGAGTTTGATCAGTACTTAAATGGACCTGGCCAGCAGGACTGAATGATCTGCTCTGAACATGTTTGATGTGAAACCTCTTCTTATCTCTGTCCTGCTGCATCAGTGTCCCTACGGGGCGCCATGAGAGCTGTAATTACCTGAGATCTTGTTTCTGATAAGGGACACCGTCGCTCAGTATTGTGGGACAATCAGTGGTCACCTTTTTCTATTTCTATCATCATTTCTCTCCATCTCCCTTCGTCCTCTCCCGCTTTTTACGCCTGAAGGGACAGCGTCTCTGTCATGACGGCAGCGTAGAGGAAAAAAAAGATAGAGAGAGAAGAAACCTTCTCGTTTTTCTTCCTTTTTTTCCTCCTCAGCAGTTTTCACACTCGACAATTTGGGCAAAGAAACAAAACGTAACGGCAGCTTGGCCCTGTTTGGTATTCATTGTTTCCACGGTGGTATTTTGACAGGGCTTAATCATCTGTAAAAGCAAACTATTGCTGCTTCCGTTTGATTTAACGCTGTGGACGTAATTCTGCAAGAAGAGTCGGATGTAGAAGGAGGGGTTCCTGGAGAGTTTGGCCTGAAGGAGAAAAAGGAAACAGCCACAGTCGAGACAAATACTGAAGGATCTCATGAATACGCTGCTGCTGCTGCAGTCACCTGCTGGATGATACATACATCGTCTGCATCAAGAGTGCCAGTTGTTTCTCACATCTAAATATAGGGCTGCAACTAACAGTTATTTTAGAAAACAACTTTTCTATCAATTATTCTGACGATTAATCGATTATTCTAGCGATTAATCGGATACAGATCTTCCATGTTTTTATGTCTTGGATGAATTAATTAATTGGGTATCAAAAAAGTTCCTAATATGAAATTTCTACTGACATAATTTAACCGGGTGAAGCTAAACTGAAACTTGAGGAGTTTTGTGTAGAACAGATGTACAGGCTTTTTTTTTTACATTTAATTCCTTTTTACCTTAAATGCAAATTGCATTTATTGTTCAGTTTTGGATTCTTTGCTGCTCTAAATGTGTGTTGTTTTTTTTTCTGCAAATGACATCTTTTCGTCTGCAACTAACAATTATTGTAGAAGTTGATTTTTCTGCCAATTATTCTGACAATTAGTTGATTAATTGGATATCAATTTGGCACTTTCTGCATATTTTTATTATTGTTGCCTGTTTTATACAATATTAGAAATACATAAGGACATGCAAAAAAAACAAACAAAAAAAATTTAATTCCTTTTTAAAATGATAAAATTAAAATTTTAATTCCATAAATTGCAATAACATTGCATTCCTTTAGCAAACTCTTGATTATTTGTCATAGAAATATCCACCTGCAGCTTAAAAATGGTCAAGCATCAGAACAAAAAGCTCAGCCCTTTTTGCTTGACTTAACTGCCGTTCAGTTTCAGACTATCTGTTAATTGTTTAAGGTTAACTGATGTATAATTAAATTGCAGAAAGTGCTTAATAGGAGTTATTTTTTTGTTTTTTTACATAATTTGAAGTTAATTTTAATAAATGGTGCAAATGAAAAGCATTGTACGAATTTGAATTCATTATGCGATTAAATTATTTCTTTCTCATTATAACAAGCCTTATTGAGAAAGGTTTTTATTTCACCTGCAGTTTCTAAAGACTGGTCTTTCTTCTTCGTCTGTTGCAGATGGAACATTTCGCCAACTGAACGGTTTTGGTGACAGTAAAGTTGAGTAGCATCACAACCTGCTCTGCATCGAAACTCACCAAGCTACTGGCTGCTGGATGCACCTTTCCAACATGGAGACTCTTTCCCAGGACTCCATTCTGGAATGCCAGATCTGCTTTAACTACTACAGCCCCCGGCGGCGGCCCAAACTCCTGGACTGCAGGCACACCTGCTGCTCCGTGTGCCTGACCCAGATGCGCAGCACCCAGAAGGAGATCCGCTGCCCTTGGTGCCGCGGCGTCACCAAGCTTCCCCCCGGCCTGTCCGTCTCCCAGCTGCCAGACGACCCGGACATCATCACTGTCATCGCTATACCTCACGCCTCGGAACATACGCCTGTCTTCATCCGCCTCCCTAGCAATGGTTGCTACATGCTGCCGCTGCCGGTCACCAAGGAGCGGGCGCTCGGCCTGCCGGGAGACCTGGGTTGCCGCTTTCTTCCCGGTGGCCAGCAGAAGGGCATGACGGTGGTGACCGTGCCCGAACAGCAGCCTCTGGGCCTGGCGATGGACCTGGAGGGCGTCGGGCTGGACGGCAGCGAAGGCGAGAGGAGAGTTCCCGGGCCTGTTGGAGGAGGAAAGGGTTCCACATGGTCCGGCGTTTGCACGGTTATTTTGGTGGCGTGTGTGCTGCTGTTCCTGTTGGGAATTGTGCTGCACAACATGTCCTGCATCTCCAAACGCTTCACTGTCATCTCCTGCGGCTGAGGGAGGTCGATTTGACCTCCTGCGGACCTCCGCCTCCTCCTCAGTGGCCCAGACTCTTCTGAGGAGTGGAGACAAAGCTTAACATCACAGAAAAACCAGGCAACGACGGAGCAAAGGGGAGTAGTACTGATGAGGGAACGAGGGCAAGAAGGAGATTTACAAACTGTCTTTCAACATTGTTTGTTGTTTTCAATTATGAAAACTGAAAATGGATATTTTCCACCAGCTGTGTGTTGGTTCTAGAAACTGCCACATCTTTGTGTTTTCTTCAAGAACGTTCTGAAAGTTGTTTTTAGACAGCTGATTGTGTTTTCCTAGAGTGATGTAGACACCCATTACACTCGAAGTGACTGGAACGCCTGTTTGCTCTGTGGTTTGTAAAGGTTCATCAGTTATCTGTGTTTTTATCGGCCATATTGAGGCTTTGAGCGCTGTCTTAAAGGTGACCTATTATGGTCCCTTAACAGGTTAGGATAGGTCTATGGTCTGTACAAAATATGTTTGTTACTGTTTTTTGCACAGTCACTCTTAGATGATGACATTTTAGTCTATGTTGAGCTCCTTTCATAATGAGCTGTTTTAGGGCGTCTTGTGACTTTAAATCCAAATAAGCTGCTGCTGGCCACGCCCCGTAACTCAGCGTTTACACTCGCACAAGAAAATGGCTGCAAACAGATCCGCAGTCATACAACCGTACATATTTGAAAAGCAGAAGTGGAGCCTCCTGCACAACCAATAATAATGCAGCAAGTGGTTTCTGGATGGTAAGTTTTCCAGCAGCCATTTTACCAATGCAGTGATAAAACCAGCTGACCAAACATTCTGGAGTCCAGCTTGGTTTGTAATGTTACTTTCCAGAAGGTTTAAAAAGGGTTAATTTTCCAAACACTAAAAAACATCAACTTGGGATTTTTTTAAGCACTTATGTTTTTATAGAAGCAATTGAGACCCAAATGAAAGCGTAAAAGCATGCAAAATGGAAATTTTGCCTTTAAAATCCAGAACCTGAACTGTTCCCTGACTCGGTGGGAATAAACATCCACACCTTCCCATTTGATTTTCTTTTTTTTCTGTATAGGCTGAATTGTTGAGCAGTATATTGTACAGCTGAACTATATACAGCTAGCTCTGAGATGCTTTAGGATAGTAAAAGTGTGAATTTTTGTTTAAATCAGCCAATTGAAGTTTTTTTTATTGCTTTACTTATATTTTAATTAAAAACCTTTGTTTGTTCAAGCCTCACAAATCTCAATGTTTTTTTTGTGTGTACTGAGTTTTGGCTTTTAGATTGCACCAAACAAGCGTTTAATCCTTGAAAGCTTCTATCCTTCAACCTTTGGATCCTTCTTATTTCTCAAACCTTAAATTCTCTGGCATCAGTCAATTATTTCCAGTTTTTATCTAACAGAAATCCTATTTTTCACAGCTGACTGAACTTAATAGCTCACTCCTTTTTTTGTTTATCCTTGGGAATCTCTTTTTTCTTCAAATCTTTATGGATTTATTGTCACAGAGGTAATTAACATTCCTCAGGGGCCAATTGCAGCTAGCTTTTCTGCAGCATGCCACTTCGGTTAAGTACAGCCAGCAGCAGCAGCGCTTGTTAATGAAGAGCTCCACATGCTTGGTGTTTATTTCTTTACTCTAAGGATCATTGAAGGGTTTTGTTTATCTCCAAGTGCCTAAAGACTGGACCAAATTTCTAAGATTCTCACTTTTCCTTTCATTGTCATTGTAGATTAATATTCTTATCTTACTAAAATTATCAAGCAGGTTTTGGTTCTATTTTATAGCATATTGAGCTAATTTAAAGCTAAAGTTAAGGTTTTTGTTTTACACAAATGCAAAACCCCACACCATCCACAATGAAGGAGAAATCTGAAAATAATTTATGAAATCAAACTAGTTCACATTCACACTGACCAAAGTTACCGGTGCTAATCACCGCTAAGCTGGACATGAAATCATTGGTTGCTTAACATTGAAATATGTAAATCTGGATTTTCAGAATGTTGATAGAGGAATTCCTGGAGTTTCCTGTTCCTTTGGTTTAAGTGACGTTATTGATTTTTAAGTGTTTTTTTTTTTTACAGCTGATGTTTGAAAAATCATTTGTGGAAAATGTGAACATCAAAACAAAGTTGCAGCTTACTTTCATGCTTTACAAGAAGGCAACAGATTCTTTCAGTTTAGGTTCTGGTATTAGAAACCTAAACTGAACTTAAACATAAGAAATTTATAATTTACTTTCTATATTTCATATAAAGCCTTTTGTAACTGCTAAATATGTTCCAGTATTTGAATATTCTGGACACGTTCAGCACCGACTGTGCTAAGTGAAGTCTACTAGCATGTTGTCTGGACAGAACAGCCAAACCTAAACCTTCCCCTCTTTGTTCAAACCCCGGATCCTGCAAATCCTTAAATTTAGAGAACAAAGTCATTTAAATATAGTTGAAACCAGAAGTTTACATACACCCGGGGTTCCCAAACCTCTGCATGCGATGGCCCAAACAGCATTAGCTTCTGGCAGGGGAACCTCTTATTTTAATCATTTTTGCATTTGTTTAGCATGTTTAATTGGACATGAGGTCTTTTCCTCATCCATATTGCGCTTGCTGTCCTAGCTTGAGAAGCAAAGTAGCTTCGCAGTCAATCAGAAACATGAACAAAATTATTCTGACTCATATTTTGTAATAATAATTGAAGACCAGATTAGAGTTTATTATTTAATTCAATTCAGTTTATCTTTATACGGAAGCAGCTGCTACAAAAAGGCTGGAAGAAAATCTGGAGGTAATTTTACTTTCTAATATTCTGATTTACTTTCTACCATCCCATCCTCAGAGTCAAACATAGCTTGCTGCAGTTTCCAGCCCTCACTTTCACTGTAGATCATTTGCATTTCTCCCATATTCGAGCTATAAAAGTCATTTTTCCCCTCATATCTCTGACACGCAGCATTACTGTAAATGCTTTTCAGAGGAGCTGTTTTCCTGTGTCACTGTGTTATATGAGCACCTTTGAGTATGTATCCTGGATTTTCCACATAAGCTGAGCAGAGGTTGTCATCCCGTTAAGCCCGGCAGAAGATCAGACTGCTTCTTCGTGCTGCGGAAGGGGAAGAGAGTTAAAAACAGTGATGGTTCCTATTTGTAGGAGGCAGTGTGCATCCGAGTGAATAAATAGGTATATCAATTTTTCAGTGAACAGCCGCATAGTGTTTCTGACAACTTAAAACCTAAATATTTGAAAAGATCAGAAGGAAGCGTTGTGTGTTAACGCGAACTGTGATGTGTCAGGACAGGAGACCTGTTTCTAAACTGTTTCAAAGGAGTGTGAACTCGTGACTTAAGCTGCTTTAACAAGAACACCGTGTGTATTAAAGGTTAGTTTCCAGATTCAGGCTAGAGAGTTTCTTTCAAGCCAGGCACATGAGTTTTAAAGAATATTTGTAAACCTTATTCTGAAAGTGCAAGTTAAAAGTTCTTCCTGATGTGTATTCATTCTGAGTACTGCAAAATTATTCTCAGTTACAATTCAACTTTGAAGGAATAACTTATAAAAGAATGAAATCAATGCCATGAAGACCACAGATACAGAAAATGTCGAACCAATTGTTGCTAATTGCCACTATGTTGAGAATAACTAACAAAACAGACACAAATCAACAGTTGCTGTTTGAAAACCAAGTCATTTAAAAAAACAAATCTCAGGCTGCTATGTGCTGGACCGTCTGGTGGCCATATGCATTCATTTTTACATTTCTTTTCCATTTTATAGGTAAAAGAAAAATGTTCAATTCCAGCTCTGCAAGAAAAAATTCAGTGCGAAACGATAGGAATGAACTGTAGTTTGTGTGAGCGATCTCTGCACTCTGGTGGGATTTGAAAGAAAACAGAATCTGTGAAACAGAGAGAGGTGCATTGGGTGAAAACAGAGAGAAATGCTTACGTTTTGATATGTAAATTGTATCTGTGGAGGAGAAATTGTGAACATGAAAGTGGTTTAAATCAAAAAGGTTTCTGGATATTTCACAGGGTTGGAAACTAGAGTGTGACATCATCACCTTCTGAGAGGAAAAAAGACATCAAACTTACAGTGGGATTGTGTAAAAGCAATAAAAGTTATTTAGATACTAGATTATTCTGATAAAGTCCAACTTTCTAAAACTTCCTAAAACTTTAAATGACGTTTCCACTTCAAAGAGGGCTGTGTTTTTCTGTCTACTATTGCTAAAATCCCTTTGCAGTACATGGGCTAATTCTCGTTTATGTTTTAAAATTTCATAAACAATGCAGAATGGATCAATAATGCACATTACAGGGCCCCATTTCCTATCGAGCAACACTTTCTGATGGGTTTTGTTGTTTGTTCTCCATTGTTATGAAGAGGAGCAAACCAACAATCAGCATCTAGACGAGGAGTTTGAATTATAAAAATGCCAAAACGCATCCAAAATAGCTTTTCTGTTGGCCACAGAAATAATAATTATTTTTCTACTGTGTTTGTGCAACCATTTCTGCTTCACAAACTGAATGCAATCAAATTGAAAAATGGCACCATCAGAAAAATTACCCTCAATCTCTGCAGCTGCTAAATGTGAGAGATGTGAAAAAGCAATTTCGGTGCTTCAGGTGTGGATATAATGACAGGTTAATTAGTCGGTGTGTGTCAGGTTCTTGTATTTGTTCACCTGCGACCCTCAGTAACTGATGGTTGGGGTTGTGGGGCTGGCAGAGTATGAAGGAGCTCATTTCCATCCTGACAGCATGTCAGTCTCTGCTTATGAGAGGTTTACATGTTTGAAAATTTCCATCAGACCAGAGGAAATTAGAACATTTTTCCTTCATAAACTGAAGGGAAGATTATACAAATTTGTTTGGAATAGATTGAACTGTAACTTGAACACGAAAGCTGTAAGTCATTTCAGCATCTGGCTGGATACTCTCATGGATTCTAATGTTTTATTTATGGACCCTTGCTAAAGAGGTGTTTAAAAGTTCACACTGCTAAAATGGCAACAATTTCAAGGTTGAACATGTTAAAACCCTAACCCTAACCCTAACCAACCAACCAACCAACCAACCAACCAACCAACCAACCAACCAACCAACCAACCAACCAACCAACCAACCAACCTTTCTCCCAACCAGCTCAGTTCCAACCAACCTTTCTCCCAACCAGCTCAGTTTTAGAATCACCCAACAACTTCTCAGAGTCATTTAAAAGCCTTACTGGCAACATTGACACAGGATGTTCAATGTGTCTTCCATAGTTTAGAACTGCAAGGAGCAAGTCTTTTATGGTGATTGGATTTGCCAAGAGGCTGCCTTGAACCCTAAAAAATATAGAGATTTTTTATGAGGAGTGGGTTGACATCCCTGCTGAGATAAGTGCAAAACTGGTAAACAGCTGCAAGAAATGCCTAAAGTTTCTTCACCAAGATCATTTATCCCTCTCAATGAGATGCAAACAGTTTTAAACTCTCATGTAATTTAGTCCATTGAATTCAAAATGCTAATTTCTTTTAGTAAAAGACCAAACATCCCTCTGCTGTTTGTCAGAAAACATTTGTTTATCATCTTCCAGAAGTATTCTCCCTCACTTCCTCTGCCCATTGTGGAAACCAACCTGAAAACCAACGTCATACACAATATATACAACATGCTCAAAGACATTTGCCACAACTGATCTTCAGTTTTCTCCATTTCACTGCATAACTTTAGTCCAAAACTATCTGTGACTTCGGTTAAGTCACTGCAGACCTCACAGGGAGGAAAGCTCAGGCTCTCATCAGGGGATGTTAAATGAATAAAAACCAGGGCTTTTAAATTCGAGAGCACTCATCAGCTCCTGTGCTTTTGTCTCATTTTCTTCACAGAGGATGCCCATGAGGTAACGCCGGGGTGTAAACAACAGATGGTTCAGTATATCAGCAGTAAGCCCTCGCCTCTTCAACTTAAGTCCTTTACTGGAGTATTGTTTAGAGAAAAAGGAGCACAAACTCCTCACATCCTCCATCTTCTGCTTTGGAAATCTGGATGACACATCTTGACTTTTTCAACTCTGATTTTTCATAATTAATCATCTGAATCTAGTTTTTGGTGCATCTTTCTCTTCCTGTATTATTTGAGCTTTTGAAGTACTAAGTAGATGTTCCCAGTTGTAAACACAGGTCCTTGTTGCCATGGTTATGCATTATAACAATTGTCTGAAAGTGAAAAAAAAGAGCAGAAATCTTTCCAGCTACATAACATGTTTGGATGTTAGGGTAAAATAGTCCAAACATGCAATACAACTCAACCAAAACCATTTTGAATAAAAGTAAAAGAACAAATCGAAACTAACTTTTTTCAGTTGGCTTGCATTTTGTCTTACTTTTTTCTTATAACAAGTCACAAAAAGTTGAAATTCTACCCGATTTTTTATGTTTTTTATTTTTTTCATTTGACCTAATTCCCTTCCTATAAAAACTTTCAGAAGTGATTTAGATAGCAAGCGTTGTAAAACAATTCAAACAACAGGAAGTCTGATCAACCAATCACAGCTCGAGTTTCAGCCAATGGGCGTTTCCCGCCGCTCCGGAGAATTCTGGAAAGTTCCATTTGCGGTGAAGGAGCGGAGAAGCTAACTTAACTGTCACTAGATTCCAGGAATGTTGAAAACATCAGCAGTTAAATTAAATATCGTTTTTGGGGATGCCACTGTTGGACATTTTGGGCAATTATTTAATAAAAACAACATCAGTATTTAAAGAGGACGTCCTAGAGCCGAATTTATCGAGTCCAGGCCTGGTTTAAGTTGCTAGCTAATTTCAGGTTAGCAGCAGGAGGAATGAGCAAGTTGTGCGGAGCGTTTGTATGTTTTTGGACATTTGTGGGCTTCTTTAGCAGCTTAAAGAGAGAAGAAACTCAGTACATGGATCGGGGTGGTAAATGTCTGTTCGTCTTATGCTAGCTTTAATGCTAGCTACAGAAGCTGAAATGCAGGGAACCAATTCTGAAGACCCAAGGACCGGATGTGGAGGAATTACAACTGCAGAGGTGAGTCAACCCAATTTTTAACCCCCAATTATTTTGGGCTGGTTTTGCTGCATTTGTTTTGACTACTAACATATCGTCACCTTCTTAAAATAATTGCCTAAGTCATTTTTTTTCAAAAATGATTTTTTTGCCTAAATCATCTTTTCATGATGCTGGCCACCTCTGGTAAAATTGCCTACATCCTCAATTAAACAGATCATGCCATTCTACCCCTTTTGTATAATTGCCTATGTCAAGAGTGTGACTTAGGCAGTTTTATTTTGCCTAAGTCACCAGACAAATTGACTTAGGCAATTTTAGAAGTTTTCAAGATGGTGGATGATTCAAGGAGACGAAAATTTTACACAGCTGCTGATGCTATTTCCAAGATTCTGGACTCTTCCCATGTTGGTAAGTGAAGATGTTTACTATAATATACACTAGGCTATCAAAATTACATAAAATGTGATCTTTTTATTCAGTCTTTTCAGTGAAAATTTTAGTTTAGGAAGCTAGCTAAAAATGCTCTGTGATAGACTGGCGGCCTGTCCACGATGTATCTTAATACAATTGACCTCAAAGGCAATTCATGTTTGTCAGAATAATCACACATTTTTGAAAGGTTTGAATATTTTTTTTTCCATTTTGGTAGGAGATGCACTTAACATTGATGACACTAGTCTGTCCCCATCTACTGAGGATGACGATGAGATCATCAATAAAGAGATGATGGAGCATGTTGATGCACCATCTGCTCCCATGGATAAAGTTAAAGATGCCAAGCAGACACATCCACACCAAGAAGAGGCGATATCAAATGATGATGGTGATGATGTCATTCAAGATCCAGACTATACCCCAACCTGTGATGAGTCCTCCTCTCCTGAAGATGAAAACAGCCTATTGTTAAGAATTAAAAAGTGAAGAACTTGATCTTAGCTCGTTAATTAATTCTTAGTCCCGAATTCCTGTGTCTGTGTAAGTGTGCAGAAAGAAAAGAGCAATCATACGACGTCAGACTTCAGATATTCAGAGTTTTATCCAGAGAAAATCAATGCAAGAAGAATGTTACAATAAGCACCTCACCTAGAATATCAAAAGTCCAAGACATTACAGAACAGAGACAAAGAACTGAGTAAAAAAGACAGAAGATGCATCTCCGGGAAAAACTCTCACCCAGCACAAAGAGATTCCAACTTCTGCTGTAAACCAAATCATTTTATAGAATGCGTAATCTCATCATTTAAATATATGCATTAGGAGGTGTGTTCTTTTCCTTTGTGTGGGCTGTCTCAATGTTAATTTTATTACCTCCTGCTAAAGAGCCCCAAAAGCAGATATACGGCAAACCCTTCTCGTATCAGTCGCTGTCCAGTTTGATATATGATTGCAGCTGCAGCGCTATCTGTGCCTCAAAATGTTTTCACAAGAAAGTAGTTTGTATTTTTAACCAAGCTTGCACACAATGTAATGCTAAATAATGACTATAAGTTTGGATCTAATAAGTAACTATTTAAAAACATGCTTAAAGAAATATAGTTAATTCTAATATAGATAAAATTATTATAAAAAGTTTTAAGATCCTAGTGAACTTTTGAACCATGCTAAGGAATTTGTTAATTGCCTGGCATATAGGCTCCTTATCTCAAGAGATCCAAGGAGTCTAGGCCTATGTTTTCTGTTTCTTCTGTCTGATCCTCCTTTTAAGAATTTATCTGCATTTCAGAGATTGAGCCGTTGTTTTTAGTTTCATCTAAATTTATATGAACCTAGAGTGTACTTTAACTTTCTATGTTATATTTTATATGTGTCAAAGCTATCCTGTGCAGTATTGTGCTAACTTAAAATTCTATGTCAACATTCCCCCTTTTGATCTCTTTAAAAAAGAGATCACCTAAAGTATGACCATACTTACCTGGGAGCAAACACATAAGGATTTAACAGAAAGATTAACATTCCCCCGACAAACAAAACCCCAAAAAATAACAAGACTTGATCCCCCAGTCACATCAAAAAGAAGAAAAACATACATCACATAACATCAATACAAAATCACAAAAACACTTCCTGTCACCTAAAAGCAGTAAAAAACATTCAACTATGCACCAAAATAACAACAGTAAAACAAACAACATGAAAAACACAACAATGCTGTGAAGAGAAAAATAACACCAATACATACAGTCACACACTTATATTAAACAATAATGTCTTTACTTCTTTATGTTGCTTCGTGTCCATCGAGTGTTCCTGAAAGATATAAAATCTTTGGTGAAGAAAAATTAAAAAGACTGACAGTCATAAATAGGAAAAAATAGGAAGAAATGTTCGCAACAGTTCGCAAGAGTTCGCAATAATCGGCAACTCCTTTCTTCTTGATCCCGACAGTTTTAGCAGGCGTCCATCCTGAATATGCGATGCTCACTGAATATTGGATTATTATGCCAACACCGTGAGTGTAATTAAGGGATTTCATCCTCTCATTCAATCAGAGAAAACCCAAAAAGGATTATTATGCCTGTTTTGGGCCTCAAAACGTTGAACTCCAGGAACCAGAACCTATAGCAGGAATAAATCTGCTATCCTTCTGGCCCAGAGTGTTGCTCCTCCTCTGGGTCTCATGTGAAGTGAAGATCCTCTGCTGGCCCCATCAGAACCAGGTCTCTCATCCACCGTCAGTCGGAGCGGCTCGGACGTCCTCTCCATGACTTGGTAGAGCTCAGTGAAGCAGGAGTCAGACTACTGCCGTTTTGATGACCTTCAGCCTCACCCAGGTGTATCCTGATGCAGATCACTTCTCCGACCTCTCCTGTGACCCCTGGTACTCCACAAACTCCGCTGCTATTAACTGTAACTCATCAAACAAATCTTTTATGAGATAAATGTACAGGGTTACCTGTCCATCTGGGAGTTCTGACGGCTGGCCTGGAAATCTTCTGATCTCATGCTCGTACGAAGAGAAAGCCCTGTTAAATTATTAATGGACATCCTAACAGACAACAAAGCAACAGGCAATATAACAGGCACTGCAACTACCCCATTAAATTTTGTCTGTGCACAGATTGTAGCCAATTTTGTATTTTGTTCCATTCAATCCCCACGTTTGCCTGCAACTTATGGATAATAAATTGTAAAAAATAAAATGATTCAAACCCAGGATTTTGTTCCACTTCCTGGAGATCCTGATACCTGAAATGTAGCATCAACCTACCTCATTAGTTCCTGGAATCCATCACTGGAATCTAATAAGTAATCAAATCCTTGTGACAGTTAATTGTACTCCTTGTATAAAAAAAATCTTGAGAAATGGTTTCAAAACACCTCAATACCTACCTGTGAAAACCTACCCGTGTCGTTCCCTGTGTTACCTGGAAAAACATTAATTCTAATATTTACGAGGAGAATCACCTTATCAACCGGACCTGTGACGGTTTCTCTTATGATTCGGGCCACCACACCCAAAAATGATGGGCCAAGGCCAGAGATTACTATAGTGACATTTATTTTCTATCTGTTCAGTGTATCAAAACAATTAAGCAATTAAGCACTTCCTTCTAACTCAAATAAACTATTAAAGTATAATACAAGAATATAATAAATAAAGTTGTAATTAAAATACACTCCAAAAGAAATCCTGGGAAAATGTCTGACTGAAAATAGATTTGAAAGCATGCCAGCCAAGAAACACACGTGCACCCACAATGAACCGTCTCCGTTTAAGCTGCAAAAATAAGTTTTGGATTGTGCATATTTGTGTATATGTGCGGGCTGGATGGCACATACTCTTTAATTAGATGTCATCTCATGATGGCTCTTCTTCCCTTCCACATAGATAGTTCTTCTGGCAAAAACTCTGTTGATGTTGAATGATTTTACCACGTGGTTCTGTTCCACCTATTCAATCGCAATACTTACCATTTACAAACTTTTATATTTAAGCATCAACAGTCCTTGCATGAATCACCACAGAAGCAATGCTTTCTCCAGCTCTCTCAATTCAATCTCATGTTTTACTGGAGAATTATCTGCTCTCCCCCTTTTTCTGAAACAGAACTGCAAAGAACATCAGTTATGTTATAGAAAAATCCAAATTAAACGGCAAATTATAATGAGGTATAGCCAAATGTGCAGCAGCAGATAGCAGGAGATCATCAACATACTAAACCAAAATCACATCTACTGAAAAATACACAACTAGCCAAGTACCATTACAAAACCCAATTAAACATTCCTAAATAAAAAAAAAAAAACCTCTGTGGCAGAAGTACATACCACGGATATTCACCTTGTGTAAGGAAAGAAAACACATCTCTACAACCCTGGCAAGAGAAAAACTAAATAAAGCGCTATCAAAATCAACATAAAAATATAAGTCAGAGAGGAACCCAAAAGTACTGACCGGCACTACAAGGTTACCAAAGTCAAAACAGTCTTCTACAAATCATGTGTCCTGCCAGTTGTCCTATCTTCCTGTCTCCAGAAATGGCTGTAAATCAAATGGGAGGACGAGGTTGTAAAACCAAATGTGATTGGTGTGATGTCAAACAGACTGTGATAACGAGGGAACAAAAGACGTCCCAAAACCAGTGTTTACACAGACAATTCTTGTTTGTTATATTTTATACGTGTCAGTCGATGGAGAGAAAAAATAGAGGAGGAGAAACTATAATGTTCAAATTCAAAACATATAAAAGGCATTTTACCACACCATCTAAGTCCTGAACTGTATTGCTGTGTTACAGAACCAAGAAACGTGTTACTGCTTCGTCCTGCATGTTAAACCAATTGTACCATAGTCAGACAAACTGCGGCAGCAACACTCTCTGGTGCCACAAAATAACCTGAGAAACTACTGTCCAGCCCCTGCCAACTAAATGTTCCCTCAACTTGCTCCTGATACCATTCAGACTGGTTAATCCTAAAAACAGAATGACATGAGACAGGTCAGACTTCTGCCCGTAGGTGTAAGTGCCTGGGTCGAGGGTTTCCAGAAGGGGTGTTCCTCCAGCGGCTGCAGCAAA